ATGAGCCATTGGCCCAAGCCAGCAGGATCCTCTTATGTTCTTAGCCTATATCCTCTGGTGACCACAAAGCCGTGTGTCCAAAGAGCCCTCAGTTTTTATCCTTCCTTTCTTCCAAAGCAGATCAGAGTGGAGAAGAACATGCCTCCCTCCCTTTTTATTCTTTGTGGACCGCTCCAAGGTCACACTAAGATTGAACCAGTCATCTTCTGTATTCAAAGCAGAGGCTCTATCGCGAGCAACAGCCCTTCCCCATTCTCTAGCTCTTGTTCCGCTTCCTTCCTGGAAAGGTACATGGCCCTCTCTCCACCTCCAATGAGAAATCATAGCAGAAGTAAGAGGGCATGAAGAATCCGGCTCACAATTAAATGAATTTTATTAGACGTAATTGTTCCTGTTTTCAATTAGGTCTGTATGTGTGAAGAATCTGAAATTCATCTTGTTAGATAGACACCCAAGCCCTCTTCAGGCATGCTATAGTCATCAGCAAACAAGTGAAGGGAGGGCAGAGAGGATGGGGACAAGAGTTCTGCCACTTCATCACTAAGCCGATGATGAATTGGAGAGCAATTTCATGGAGGAGAGGCCTCTCAATGGCTACTAGCCATAATGTCTCTGCTCTGCTTCCACAGTCAGAGGCAGCACTACTAAATACCAGTTGCTGGAAACCACAGCAGGGGAAAGTGCTCTTGTGTTTGAAACAGGAAATGAGTAACGTATGTGTAACTAGATCAGCCTTCCCTTGGAAGGGGTATTCTGGCATGGCAGTAGAACATGTCTAAGGGCAGTTCTGGTCACAGCAACCACCTGAGAATCCATAAGCAATTGTCCCCAAGAAGTGGAACTGAGCCTGATCAGAGCAGTGATGGGAAATCTTTGGAAGCCCAAGAGCCACTTTCCCCCAACGGCAACCTTCCAGGGACCACAAAGCAGGGAAGACCAGATATAAAAGTGGGAAGAGCAATGGATATCACTCTCTCCGTTGTACAGTATCCTACATTCCAGCTATACAAAAGACAGGGGTTTGTATGCATATCTCTCTAACCTCCACCCAGGCAAGAAGAAGAAGAGGAGGAGTAGTAGTAGTTTGGATTTGATATCCTGCTTTATCACTACCCGAAGGAGTCTCAAAGCGGCTAACATTCTACTTTCCCTTCCTCCCCCACAACAAACACTCTGTGAGGTGAGTGAGGCTGAGAGACTTCAAAGAAGTGTGACTAGCCCAAGGTCACCCAGCAGCTGCATGTGGAGGAGCGGAGACACGAACCCGGTTCGCCAGATTACGAGTCTACCACTCTTAACCACTACACCACGCTGGCTCTCTGCCACAGGTTGAGGGCAGATTTCATCTAGCGAAAGCACCCAAGGAGCCTGGTGGAAGGGATATGGCTTGAAAAGAGTCACAAAGAGAAGTCTGGAGACCCAGATTTGGCCTCTGGGTCTGTGGTTTCCCATCCATGCTCCAGAAGGAGGGCAACCACATCCAGAAAAGGATGTACTGCCAATTCCAGATTAGATTACTACTGACCATCAGACCTCTGCCTTCTCAGGGCTGTGTCACAACTTGTATGCCCAAACCCCATCCATCACTGTGTCCAGTATCCTTGGTATGAATTGACAAAGAAATGTAAAACTGGGCCTTTTCAGTACAGTGGTACCTCTGGTTGCAAACGGGATCCGGGAGGCCTGCTCACAACATGAAAAGCCCGCAACTTGAAGCGCCGTATCTGCGCAGGTGCGAGACGCAACTTGGCGCTTGTGTGCATGCGTGAGCGGCAAAACCTGGAAGTAACCCTTTCCGGTACTTCCGGGTTGCTGCAGGACGCAACCTGAAAAAATGTATCATGAAGCAAACGTAACATGAGGTATGACTGTACAGTGATGGTGCCAAAACTCCTGAACCCCAAAGGCCTCCCCTGGCCATGTTAGCAAACTTTACACAGGCACCTTGCTGGCTACAGTCAGAATGCCAAAGCTAGTAAGGTAGGCTTTGCCAACCTGGTGCCCTCCAACTGTTTTGGACTACAATTCCCATGAGCCCCAGTCACCACTCCATTCATCTGGTGTTGATGGGAACTGTAGTCCAAAACATCTGGATGGTTAAGATTGAAAATGGAGCCTGGATCTACTCTGGGCCTTCTTCCCCTCCCTACCCCACCAGGGGAAACCCTGATAGATGCAACATCCCGTTCCTCCCTCTGCTCAACAAAACAAAACAAACACACCAACTCATGCATACTCAATGCAGGATTGTGAAACAGGATCATAACAGTGCCATCACCTCTCCTTATTTCACTCTCAGCCCCCATCTATCAAATGATTACGGGAAACTCATTGAGTGCTATTTAATAATATATCCACATCCGCTGTGTCTCTCAAGCTGTTTGCATTGTTAAATCATATGGGCTTATTTAAAGAGTCGGCAACTCTTCTTTGGGTGTTCAGATTGCCTTCCTCTAGTTGCCTACTTGATTACTTAAGAGTGCTTTCACACACAAACATAGTAGAGGACGGGAGGTGGGAGGAGAGAAAGGCTATGAAGCAATCTATTGTGGACCCAGTGAAACATGCAAGGCATCACAAATAATACATGGGATTCTCTGCATGGCGATCTGAAGAAGCTGGCATGCTTGGTCACTTGAAAAACTCTCAAGGCCAGCAAGGGAGGACACTGTCCTTACAGTCAGCATAGGAAGCTGCCTTATACTGAGTCAGAATAATGGTCCATCTAGCTCTGTATGGTCTACAGTGACCATCAGTGGCTCTCTAGGATTTCAAGTAAGGTCCTTTCCCAGCCCTACCTGGAGATGATGGGGATTGAACTTGGGACAATTCCAAGCAGATGCTATACTGCTGAGCTACAGCTCCATTAATATTGCCTCCCAGCCATCCTGAGCTCAGGAATGGGTTTCATGCTTTCAGGGCAGCGTCAATGCTTCTGGGATCCACCCACACCTTTCAAGCTACTCAGCAGGTGGTTACAAGTAATCTAGGCTGACGCTGACTCCATCTTTCACAACGTGATCATCCATGATAGGAAGGGAAGTGAGTCAATGTGCACTTGTTGTTGTTTAGTTGTTTAGTCGTGTCCAACTCTTCGTGACCCCATGGACCAGAGCACGCCAGGCGCTCCTCTCTTCCACCTCCTCCCGCAGTTTGGTCAAACTCATGCTGGTAGCTTCGCGAACACTATCCAACCATCTCATCCTCTGTCGTCCCCTTCTCCTTGTGCCCTCCACCTTTCCCAACATCAGGGTCTTTTCTAGGGAGTCTTTTCTTCTCATGAGGTGGCCAAATGTGCACTAGACTTCCCTAACTACCAGTGTCAGCTACAGATCTCAAATAGGGGTCACTCCTAGTCCTGGCTGGGGATGTCGGGGACTGAACCTGGGACCTTCTGAATTCAAAAGCGGATGCTCTGCCATTGAGCTACAGCTCTTCCTCAGAGTTGGTTTTGCCATGCAATTTTGCAGACGGTCTCCATAGAGATCAGCTGTGGCCTAAAAGGCTCATCAGTTTGCATGCTCCAAGGGGGGGCACTGAGACTGCCAGGATTTGAGGACCCCCAAATCCTGGAGTCAGCACAGGTGCGGTATTTCAGGGATGGATGAATTTGTCCACGTCAGTTTCAGTTTCTCATATTTTTTTTCCAATTGTAAGTTCAGTTCTCCACTTTCCCCCATCGATTTGCAATGTTTCTAAAGGGAAAAAAGTCTTAATGAAAATCCTCCAGCTTTTTAGTACAAATGTATGCTAACAGCCACAGTATATGCATTTTTTAACGCATGATTTGGCTGGAGAACTGTGCGGAGGGAAATGAAGACGTTAGAAGGATGACTGTGGTTCAAATGATTTTAAAAGAGGACCGGATCAACTGATAGTCCATCAACGCTTTCATAATGAATGCAGCCTCCATGTAGCAAGAGGTGGCCGTCAAATTCATGCAGCAATGCTTTTGAATGCCAGTTTCTGGATACCTCAGGAGTGCAGAGTGTTGGTGTGCTCAGATCCTGCTTGCAGGTTTCCCACAGGCATCTGGGTAGACATGGTGAGAACAGGATGCTGGACTAGATGGGCCATTGGCCTGATCCTGCAGGCTCTTCTGTGGCCATATGGCTGTCAACTGCTGGATCCAAGATGCTGGAAGAATTGACCTTGGAAACTGACCTCTTCATCTGTTCCTTATGCAGAAGAAGGATCCATATTTTGCTCTGGATGGGTTTCCCCATCTCTTGAATCATGTCTCTCTTGAGATAAGCCACTGATTCCCACTCTTGCTCTCCCCAATGATCACATCCTGTGTGTGATCATCGCCCTCCCACATGGCCAGGAAACGTATGGTGCATCACAGGCAGAAAGGGATCTCCTGGGAGCCTCAGGCTCTCACTTTCCTCCTTCCTCTGCATTACAGACAATTCCTGCTTTTAGCAACAGGGTGCCGTTCCTGTGGTGCAAAGAAAAGTTCAGTTCCAGCACGAATCAGACCTCCTTTTGGGGGGGGGAGGTGAGGGGAGCACCCTCGCCTGTTGCATGTCTGGGGGGAAAGAGAGGAGAAAAGCTTTGAAGTCCTTTGTGACAGGTGTCGTTTACCTTTTGTGCCAGCAGGTGGCATAGCTCTCATTTCAAGCTCACTCCCCTGCCAGATCGCTTCCAGAGTGCTGATTTTTCAACTTGCTGTGTTAAATTCCTGGTGCCCCAAACAGCCATGACATGGGGGATCTAAGATAGGATATTCCGGAGTCTTGCATTTGACGCTTGCTATTGTTTTTAAAGCAGCCGAGGGGAGTGCTGAGAAGCCTTGGGAAGAGATTCAATTTTTATTGAAGGAGTGCTAGTATAACTCTCTTTTCCCCAACCCTACTCTTTCAAGTGGAATCAGTGTATACCAGCACACATCGGAAGCCATCATGTACCGAGTCAGATTCCTGGTCAATCTAACTCAGTGCTATCTACACTGGCAGCAGCTCTCCAGGTTTCTGACCAAGGACATTCCCATCCCTACCTGGAAATGCCAGGGATTAAACCTGGGACCGTCTGCATGCAAAGCAGATGCTCTACGACTGAGCCATGGTCCTTCCCAAATATATATACTCATGTCTGCTTTGAAGTGAAATGGGAAAAAAGACAGCCAAGGATGGCTCTCCCAGGTCATCTCTCTTTCAGTCCTCCATCATTGCCTCTTTTCCTGATGTTCGGGTTGTGAGTGTTGTTGTGTATGCAACCAAAACAGTATCAATAAACACACAAGACGTAACCGGCTGTATTTTTGAATAAATAAGGTATACTATTCATTGTATCAAATTGTAGATTTCAACAGGAGTCTCATAAAGTTCAACGAAAAAAAGCAGAAGATCCAGTGGATCAGTTCATTCTCTAGTCAGTTCATGCATAAGGTCCATGCATGTATAAGTGCCTATTCCACCTGCCTGTTCTTAGAGTCCAATAATCCACAGTTCCACAGAATCCTTTCACAGAGTCTAAGACAAGGATTTCCAGACTATTAGCCTTGTTTCGCCATCCTAGGCTTCATCAGTAGAACAGGCTCATATGCAACCACTACTATGCTGTAAGATCCACTATCCTGTAATATTACATATGAGCCTGTTCTACTGATGAAGCCTAGGATGGCGAAACAAAGCTAATATTCTGGAAATCCTTGTCTTAGACTCTGTGAAAGGATTCTGTGGAACTGTGGATTATTGGACTCTAAGAACAGGCAGGTGGAATAGATACTTATACATGTATGAACTGACTAGAGAATGAACTGATCCACTGGGTCTTCTGCTTTTTTCATTGAACTTTATGAGACTTCCGTTGAAATGTACAATTTGATACAATGAATAGTATACCTTATTAATTAAAAAATACAGCCGGTTACGTCTTGTGTGTTTATTGAGTATGTTTCACGTAACCATAGGTTTGTGTTGTTGTTTTACCAAAACAGTATCAACAATTTACAAGGGAGGTATCAGGGGACCTGGTGGAATCCCAGGCCTTGCAGAAGTATGAAAAGAAAAGAAAAGAAAAAAAGAAAAGAAAAAGCATTAGATAAAGTCCTAAAAGAATGGGGGTGGGGGTGCTCCATGACCATAGACTGCTAACTAGGGTGGAGACCAAAAACTGGAGGGGAGGGGAGTGGGTAGAATCCTGAGCAGCACAACTCTGTGCTGCAACATTTTCTTGCAGGTCCTGCTTCTCAACTTGATCAAAAAAATGCATACTTTTTGAGTGTAATTAGCAAAGGACAGCCTTAGGTCTTTGCTCACCCCCCCCCCCCATGCAATCTGGAGTTCAATCTTGAAGCTCATTTCAGTCCCTGAACTGGTTTGGGGGTTTGCATAGTGTCTAACTAGGGGTTAGCCCCTAATTAAACATGCAGTGGAGGTGGGGGGCGAGAAGATGCAGGCAGGCAATCCTGTTGCACCTCCTTCTTCCTCCTTGCCTTAGGTGTGAGCCCAGCATTTGACAATGCCAGATTGCTCCATGTGGACCTGATCAGGGTCATCCGGGGCCGCCTCAACCCTCTCTGGTCAAATTCCAGGTTGACCCAAATGGGTCCAATTCAATTTGAGATCTGGGATTCACTCAGAGCCATTGCACAGCCCTAGACAGCACAACAACATAATACAATGAAGAAGTGGGCACTTGGATTTTGGGCAGTTGTGCAGAATAGGAACTCTCTGCAGGTGCAGCTTTTCACCCTGCTGCACCACTATGGCATGACAAATTGCAGCAGGCGAAATTCATTCCCCTCTGCAACTGGTAAAGGTCTGTACAGAAATCCAATCTCCTTCTATAGCTTGGCACCCTATGCAGATAGCATTGGATTTTATTTAGGTTCAGCAACAAAAATGTCAAAGGGCTTAAGGGAAAGCATGCATTTATTTCATAATAAATGAAAAATTAAACCAAATGGGGCCCATTTGTTACGACATGAATGCAGTGAGTTTTCATTTTCATTATCCTGTTCATATCCATTTGTCGTTCCTTTGGGAGTGGGGGCTTACCTTTCTCCAGGGGCAGCAGCTAATGTTATTTACTTCCCCAAATCCAAACCTTTACTGCTTAGCCAAAGGCCATTGCCAGTCATTCAATAGAGCAGTAAAAAAAAATGGGACACAGCTCAAAAATATGATTAAAACATAAACTAATAGCACAATCAATTTGCAATTATTTATATTCCCAGAATGCCTGGGATGCTGTGTCATTGTAAGATATTCCATGAGGGAGGGGAGGAGATATAGGCCGAAGACGCTGCCTTTGTGGGGACTGCAATTTCCCTGTATATTTATTTATTTAGAACATGGGTGGCTAACCTGCAGCCCTCTGGAAGTTGCTGAGCTGCAACTCCCATCAGCCCTGATTCTTAGTCATGCTGGTTGGGACTGATGGGAGATCTGGCCTTCCAGGTGTTCTTGGTCACCATCTCCCTGATTGTTAGGGCTTCTGTCCACTGTGCTAGGCAAGCCCATTCATTGGATGGCCATTGGTCATAGATGCTTTAGCTGAGATTCCTGTATTGCAGGGGGTTGGACTAGATGACTCTTGGGTCCCTTCCAACTCTGAGGTTCTATGATTCCATGATCAGCTGGCTGTCGGGATCAAAACCACAACAACAAGCTGACTGCCACGGCTTGCATCAAGTGCTGTGGACGGAAGCTTTGTCTACACCGTGTAATCAGTGGCGTAGCATGTGGGGGCCACAGGAGTGGTTGCCCTGGGAACAAAATCATCAGGGGTGTGAAATTTCAACAGCCAGTACATCTGCACACATCTGTCACTGGGCTCCGTTGAAAACAGCTTCTTCATGCGAACCAGGAAGTGGCATTTCCAGACAATGGAACGACTCTTCTCTTCTTACCTCTGCTGCTGCGATTTCCTGGGTGATGCACATGCCATTAGGCAGTTGAATGTCATGTGTACTCTGTCCCTTTTCCTCCCTCCCCCCTTTACATGGCCCTGGGCTCTGGCAACCCACGCTACACCACCGCATGTAATATACCATGGAGAGATTCTGCATGTGTTCAAGCTGTACACGCCTAGAGTCCACACAAAACCAATCAATGGCTTCCATTCTAAAATAAAATAAAATCATGTACTGAAAGCAGGACAAACTGCCAACAAAAAAAGCTTCCAAAAACTCCAGTGTGTCTCCCTGTTAAGCACATAGTCTTCGTTTTGTTTTGCTACATAGAACACAGAATGTGAAAAATCTGTGCACTGACTAGGGGGATTGTACCTCTAAACCTCACCTTTTCTGCAGAGGAGCTAGAAATTGCCTTTCTCCCAATGAGGACGTGTGTGTGTGTGTGTGGTATTTTATTATTAACTTTATATCTCAACCTTTCATCCAAGGAGCTGAAAGCGACAGACATTCTTCCCCCTCTCCTTTTTAACCTCACACCATCTCTGTGAAGCAGGTTAGGCTGAGAGATGCTGGTTAGGCTGAGAGATGCTGGTTCGCCCAAGGTCGCCCAGTGAGCTTCCTGTTTCAGTAAGGATTTGAACCTTGGTCTCTGAGGTCCTAGTGCAACACTGTAACCACTACTCCACAATGGCTCTCTCTTTTTGTATTCAAGTTCTTTTGTATTCAGATTTTATACAGTAACGAATTAGTTATTATGAGTATTTTTGTGCATAAAGTAGTTTTGTGCATAATCATCAATCACCACCATCATTGTTTGCCTAGCGACATCCACATTAGCATCTTTTCAGCACCAGAGGAGAACCTTTTTGATTTCCCCAAGCTTTTAATGATAGATTTTAGTGCATTTTAAGATATTTGGCACTTCTGATTCCTTCCCTTTGCTAAGTTTTTGGCTTGACTTGATCTTATGCTGCTCTTGTTGTGCTGATTTTTGCTGATGACTAGATATTATACCGATCTTGATTCTAGTTTATTTTGATTGCACTTTGCAATTTTCGACGTTCCGCCAGGCATCCTGGAGGCTTAGCCGGGTGCCATAGGAATGTCATAACACAACAAGTATTATAGGAATGTAGGAAGCTGCCTTATGCCCAGTCAGGGCAATGGTCCATCTAGCTGAATACTGGCAGAGGCTCTCTGGCAACATACCTGCGGATGTCAAGCATTGAGCATGCAACTTTCTGCATGCAAAGCATGATCCACTTCCATGGGGTTGCATCCCTTGCCTACAAAACCAGAGAGGGGGTACTAAATGTTTTTTAAACAACCATGCTACTTCTGCCTGCTCTCAATAGGATTGTGGCCAGCTGTCTTATACTGAGTCAGACCACTGACCACAGACAGAATGCTGCAGCAGCGAGGCTCCTCACGGGGTCCCTGCCATGGGAGCATATTCACCCAGTGCTTTACCAGTTGCACTGGCTCCTGGTGGAGTATAGGGTCAGGTTCAAGATGCTGGTTTTGACCTTTAAAGCCCTTTGTGGCTTAGGGCCCTCGTATCTATGGACCGCCTCTCCTGGTATGCCCCGCAGAGGACCTTAAGGTCCATGAATAACCATAGTTTAGAGGTCCCGGGCCCTAAGGAAGTCAGACTATCCTCCCGGGCCCACCAGGGCCAGGGCCTTTTCAGTGATGGCTCCAACCTGGTGGAATGCTCTGTCCCATGAGATTAGGGCCCTTCAGGATTTAACCTCCTTCCGTCGGGCCTGTAAGACAGAACTATTCTGCCTGGCCTTTAATTTGAATTCAGCCTGATCTTTTATTTGCCTCCTTTTCCCTCCCCCTCCCATTTTATGAAGATTACCTGCTCTGAGACCCCACAGCTAATTCTCCCCAGTCTCCCCAAGTAGGGCAAATTCAGCCAGCTAGCCCTGGTGATTATCTAATGCTTATTAGATGGATTTCCCCTAAACTGATTTCTGAACTTTTAATTTTATTGCTATTCATGTTTTTTATACTGCATTTTATGCTGCTTTTACAATTAAATGTTTTAAATTTGTTGTTAGCTGCCCTGAGCCTGGTTTTTTTGAACCTGGAAGGGCGGGGCATAAATAAATTATTATTATTATTATTGTTATTATTATTGTTATTGTTGTTGTTATTATTGGCATCAACTCCTAGGGGCCCAGCTCTCTGTCCCAATATTTTGAGGGGCAGGCCCTCCAAAAGTTCAAAAATATCTGGGGGCAGAGGAGGCCAAGTGCAGAGCTGAGCACGGTGTGGCTTCTCCTGCTGCTGTGGAGGGGAAGGAGAGGGGAAGCAGCCTCTGGCAGTGATAGTGGCAGCAGCAGGAGGAGGCGGCTGGGTGCCAGAGGGGAGGAGCTACTGGCCATTGAAGCTGCACTACCTCTGCAATTGACTCCACCCCCTGGCTCCTCCCAACGCCCCGATGTCACATGTGCAACATCACGTGCATGACATCTCCCTCACCTGTTTGCACCTCTCATCTAGTTCAGTGTTGTCTACACTGACTGGCAGTGTGACTCTCCAGGGTTTCAGGAAGCCCTACCTGGATCTCAGAAGTTGGAACTGGGTCATTCGAAGGGTAACACTCTGCCACTGAGCTACAGCCCTTCCTTACATCCTACACATCCTACACAAAAGGGGGCGGTGACTTGATACCGAAGGCCCGCTATTGGCTTCTGGCCTTGACTGATTGCTGCCCAGATGATGTCACCATTTCCACTCCCCCGCTCCCTTGCGAAACCACTTTCATTTACTTAGGGAAACCCGCCTCTGACTTTGAGAAGTGTAGCTATATATGCTGGACAAATAGGTGTAATTTTTTAAGCAAATAGCTTATTGATTTCCCACTCAGTTTCTCCGAAATGTTCTTCCCAGCGCAGGGGCGGGTTTGCCTTTCTTCCACCCCGTCTTTCCCCACAGGACTCATTTTACATTCTGGCAGGTATCATTTGTAGTAGAGCAAGCTGGGCCTGGGAGCAGTTTCAGAATGCAACCGGGTGCGTTCCTCACTCCCCTTTTCTGCATTCAAATGGAAGTGAGCACCCCAAACTTCTTGGTTGAAACAGACCCATGCAGTCACATTTGCACCCAAGGCAGAAAATCCAAATAGTATCTTCCAGTAACAGGCATTTGATCACATTCAACAAAATGCCACTGATAATTTGCTGGCCTTTAACATAACCTGTCACCTGAGTCAGATGCTTCTGCCTACCTCACAGTGAATTTAAACTTTCTCTTCTATGTTTCGGCAATTATAAATTAAGACCATTATCATGTTCTGTCCTGATCAGGGCCGGATTTAGGTTTGACGAGGCCCTAAGCTACTGAAGGTAATGGGGCTCTTCATATGTCCAGCTGTCCTTTGTCGACAACAAATTGTCGCTGTTTTTTTGTGTTGAATATATGCTATATGGTGATTTATGGACCTAATAGGTATCTAAAGTCATTTGCACATGCAGAATGTAGGCACCCTATATATAGAAATGAGCAAACCAGTATATTTTAGGGAGCAGGCTAGCAGGCAGGGCCCATTACTGACGTCATAGGAGCCTACACCACACAAAACACTGTATGTAGGTTTTATCTTACTTGTATTTTATCTTATATTTTGGAAATGTACATCCAGTTCTTTTTCCTTTAATTTTTTGGGGGGCCCTCAAGAGAGGGGGGCCCTAAGCTATAGCGTCTTTAGCTTATATGTAAATCCAGCCCTGGGCCTGATGCTGGCTCCTGTTGAAAAAGCAGACTGACCACCCACTGCTGGACCACAGACAGCTCCCAATAAGGAACTTGCTTCGACAAAGGTTGGGAGCAGTCAGAAGTCTTTTAACCACTGACTCGGAACTGCCTCTTCCAGGCTCCACCCTCTTGTGGAGAACCTCAGAGCCTTAAAATGGGCAAGACTCCAACCTGAAGGTGGGCCCTCTTCCACCTTTCCACAGCCTTGCTCCTGGTGAGGGGTGGTGGAAGGCATCTGGATCAGGGAGAGCTGCCAGGGAGGGTCTGCCTCCATAGGCCCTGGTGGTCTGGGAGGTTTCCCTGTGGCTTCCTGTTCAACAACCTCAGATGCAACAATTTCCCTATGTTCAGTCCTCAGCCCTCATAATGCCCTGGCACCCCCATCTGGTTCCTCAGCAGCCTCAGACTTTATCTGGATCGCTAGTACATTCAAGGGTCCTGGCAACAACAGCTGCATTGCAAAGAGCTTATTTTTTAAATAAAAAAATTGAACACATCCATAACTGAGCCCTCTCAATGCACCCATGCTGGTGTTTTTACTTAATTAATTAATCCATCAATCAATCAATCAATCAATCAATCAGTTAATATATTTATGCCCCACTTTTTAATGCCAAGGATCTATAGCAGCTTCTAAACTTCGCGCACCCCCCCGCACAAATAAATAAATCCCTTTTGCAAGGTTGGGCAGTAGAACAGCTTTCTATCAGCTATCTCTGCGTAGTACTCTTAGCTCACTCAAACAGGTGCCAGATACAAAAATAACAAATAAAAAATGAATTTCATAAGCCGGCACACCAAGCAATTGACACCAGATTCCAGGAGAAAATACTCAGCAATTTGGCAGAGCAGTCCCAGCGCTTTTCCCTCAGAGACGATGCTGTTTGCGATAACGAGCGGAGTCATTTGCATAAGCCCAAGGAAGACAACAGGTCTGTGTTCCTCCTCAGCACAATTCAGCACGGCTGCTGACAGCATTTGTCCATTGGCAGGAAGAGCTGTTGTTTCTGAGAGTGAGTAAGATAAAGACGTGGGTAGGTTTATTCAGTTCAGCAGCCCAACAGCGTCATGCGGGAGGAATTGCAAAGGGAACCACAAACATGCAATGGGATTTGAAGCAAGAGAAGAAAGACCCTTGATTAAGTAGCTGAGCATCTGCTTTGCATGCAGAAGGCCCCAGGTCTGAAACCTTTGACAGCCTCTGCCAGCCAGTGTAGGTAATCCTAAGCTAGATGGACTAATGGTCTGACTCAATATAAGGCAGTTTCCTGTGTTCTTTTTTGGGGAGGGGGTAGAGCATCTACCTTGCATGCAGATGGTCCAAAGTTCAATTCCTGAGATCTCCAGGTAGGGATGGGAAAGACCTCTCTTCTGAAACCCTGGAGAGACTCTGCTAGTTACTGTAGCCCAGCAATGGCCCCAGCCCTCTGGCTAACCATTGGAAATCTACCCTGGCCCCACACCCCACTGCCCAGATCCAGCACTAGCCCTGGTGTTTAGGATTGATGACTAAATCCACTATTTTCCTGGCTCTCACTGTTAGATGCAGTAGTCAGACTCCCAACTAGCTTCTTGTCAAAGGCATTCATGTGTAGGTCACTATGATACGTAAGTCAGGTTGCAAAGGATACAGGTCAACAGGTGCCACAGAGGTCTAGGTATATAGCTAAGCACAAGCTGAGATGTTCCAACATTTGACACATCCTTCTTTTGAAGAGCTGGGAGGGCACAGTCATTTGTGTGGCTGGTGTCCTAAGCCACTGGGCTGGGCAAGCAAACAGGCAGGCATTTCTCTGGGCAGGCTGGGTTTGTTGAGCCTGTTTGCCACTGTGCAACTGTCTCCACAGCCATGGTTATAGAGACAGGGCTGTCTGATGGCACTGAGGTGGGCTTCTCTCCCAACAATTCACTCAGCCCCCTCCCCAGGATCTGGATCAGTGCCTCCCAACCTGCCGGGTCCCTCGCCAGGATCCCCCAGCTCCACATTCTCTTCTCATTCTTCCGCCCTCTCTCCCCAATTCCACCAAGATGTCTCTACGGGACTCATGACACCCAGGGAGGCTGCATGTGGCAGAGATTGCCCTTGCTCCATGCTCACTTGGATGCACTACTTAGACTCTTGGCTCAAGAAAACCTCAACACTTCATTCAAGAATGTCATCTCAGCATTAGCTTCAAATGCAGGAAACAGAATTCATAACATACCCGGTACTTCCAAGTTTCATGAATACAGTGGTACCTTGGTTTACAAACTTAATTTGTTCTGAAAGTCTGTTCTTAAACCAAAGCATTCTTAAACCAAGGCATGCTTTCGCATAGCAGTGGGGGGGGGCTCAATTTACAAATGGAACACACTCAACAGGAAGCAGAACATGTTCTGCTTCCAAGGCAAAGTTCACAAACCAAAACACCTACTTCTGTGTTTGCAGCATTCTTAATCCAAGTTGTTCATAAACTAAGCTGTTCTTAAACCAAGGTACCACTGTAGGTGATAGCTAGGACCTTGTCTCAACACCTGCCCTGCCCACTTACTTTACTTTTAAATAGCAGGGTGGGGCGAGTCATGGTTCTTGTCCCAAGTGAGAAGACTGAGCTTGGAAATGTGTGCTCCAATGGATGAGGGGATTACCAATGCAGATGGTGATGCGTCGTGGGAGGTGGGACCTGAATCAGTCCCTCCTAGTCCCCCTTCCTCCTCTGGTTCCACTAGCTCTGCTGTCTGCTTGCCTCTTCAGGTATCACAGAAATTTCCCTCTCCAGAGGAGGAGTGGACACTAACCCACATACTTCTTCATCCCCTTCTTTAACATCCAACATTTACAGGGTGAAGACCTCTCCCAGTTCATAGGCTTCCCCCATCTCCAGCCTTGGGGTCCTCCTCTGACAAATCCTGTGAACTCCTCCCTGATTTGGTTGGTGCCATGGGACCCAGGACAGGGACTCTATGACCATGTCTCAGTGTTCTGCATCCCCTCCGATTTGAGCTGGCCAATGTCCTCCTTCACTGTGGTTGACTCCACTGACGCATGACACTCTTGGCAGCAGACCTGAATCAAGAATGTGTTTCAGTGCTTTGGAGCAAGTAGCTGCATAAGGGTTTCAGTTGTTTAGGTAGGACTCTGCAACTGTCTTATAATTTTTGATTTCATTGCTCTGCTTTGCTTATGAGTTCCCCAGAGTTGAGCTGGGTAATCACACAGCACTCCCTATAAATTGATTTTATCCCTCTTGCCATTTGGCACAAACACTTTTTATTTGTTTTTTTCTGAGTTCCCATAATCATGATTCTCTCTCCTCCCCCCCCCCCCATTTTTGCATAACTCCTTCCAGTTAGGGCTCTCTCTGAACTAGCACTAATTGAAGTTGATAATACACAAAGTGGAAAATGATGTATCCACAAAATGGGGCTGTGTGCAGCTCCTCGTCCCCAAACAGAACCCCTCTTTTGGAATCTCGGATTGCCCCTGAACTGGTCCAACCTGGGGGACACCTGACCTGGTGCCAGACACAGAATCCTTGGAGGATGAAGCAGACATCCCACAGGTCAAGGACCTTGAGCAGCAGCCCTCTGAATCCAGTGCTGAGGATCCCCTTGAGGGGCCATCTGAATTGATACCTGACATGGACCTGTCAGAGCAGGAGGTAAAGCAGCCCCCACTAAGTCCTCGAGATGGCTGGTGCCAGAATCTTCAAGTCCAGACTAAATAGTGGTGACACCTTATGTGCCTAGGGACTCGGATTAACTGGTCTACTCATGAACAATCCTTGATACCCTCTCACTGCCAGCAGCTGTGGTTAAGGTGTGGTTTAGGATACCAGAGTATATAAGGCCTTTCACTTGAACCTTCCATTTGAAGGAAGCAGGACAAGTTTCTGGTTCCTTGATCATTCTTCTAGCTTTCTTCTCATTGCTGAGCTCACTGTAATGGTGGCCTTGGATTGTTTCCTGACATTTTTTCTGGATCTTTTTTCTTTTTTTAAAAAAAATTCAACATACTTGATCTTGGCTTGTTGAGCATTAAACTTGAAACTTGAGTTTCCATGTCCTGTGTGTTTTGAGAAAGGGTTTTATCCTCTCTGGACTGAGCCCCTTGTCTCCAAGCATGACCCTGGTCTAGGTGCTGTCAGAGAGACTTCACTGTAGGGTGGTCTGATGCAAAAAAAAAAAGACTTTAATCACCACAGTGTGAAAGAGGTTCAGCAGTTGTAAAGAATGGGATACTGGAATGTGGGCTAAGAAAGTGTGACTGAACAGCACAGCTGGGATGGAAACATTGATGTCCTACCTCTGGGATTTTGCTAATATCTTCCATCACTCATTAGACACTTGCTTTGAGCTGTCTAACTAAAATAAATTGAATGAATGAATGAGGTGGGCAGGTTGAATGCATGAAGCCTTCTTCTATGGAGTCAGACCATTGGGTCATCAGGTCCAATGCTGCCTGTGCTGCCCTTAAGTAGCCCTACCAGGACTTGGGCAGAGATCTTTCCAAACCCTGGAACCTGAGACCCTTTCAGTGGGAGACAAGGGTTTAACAATGGTTCTTCTGCAAGCAACACATGTCCTCTGCCCCCAACCTATAGTCCCTTCCTGCAAAGTGTCAACAGGGTCAGAGCCCCAAGGGCAGGCCGGAGCAAATAATCAGCCAGCTGGGGGCCAGAGGCAAGTGGCATAGGCTAAGGCAGGCCAAAAGGTCAGGCTATGCAGGCCACAGTTAATGAGCAGATGGGTCAAAGGGGAGTGGAGGGGTCTGAGGCAGGCAGATGATTCAGTCCAGCCAAGAAGATTGCACATACAGACACTGCCTTGACATTTGGGGGGTTGCTAAAGAATGGCTCAGCAAGGAAGCTTTTAATAGGCCCAGTTGCACTGGCGGCAAGACCTTGCTCAGTCCAGACAGAAAGGCTTCTGTAATTCCCCAAACTGTAACGCTAAGGGACAACTATCTCACAAAGGCCTTATCTGCACTATACATTAGTATCATGTCACTTTAAACAGTCATGGCTTCCCCCAAAGAATCCTGGGAGCTGTTGCTTGTGAAGGGTGCTGAAAGTTGTCAGGACGCCCCTATTCCCCACCCAGAGCTACAATTCCCAGAGTGGTTTAACAATCAAGCTCTCTTGATTGTTGAACCACTCTGGGAATTGTAGTTCTGTGAGGGGACTAGGGGTCTCCTAACAACTCTCAGCACCCTTCACAAACTACAGTACTCAAGGTTCTAGTGGGGAAGCCACAACTGTTTACGGTGGCATGCTGTTGGTCAGCTTTGGCTCCTTTGGTCACCTGACTCAGTACTGTGACACTGCTGGCATCTGCCTCCCACAACTGATTGCGTCCAAAGGAATGTGGCCCTCATGAGAGAGAAAAAGGTTGCTCACTCTTGCCTTAGTGTCTTACAAGATTGTCGTGAAGACTAGCCAGAGTCTACAGAGGTTTTGCTATCACTTATGCTGCTGACTTAATACCAGCAAGGGAGAATCAAGAGTGCCTATCACTTCTGGATAAAGTCTGAATGAGCTCTGGGTATGTAAACAAACAAACAAAACAAAACCGAACAAAGAAGGAACACTGAGGTAGATTGAACCTGTATTTCTTCACCATGACACACACCTTTGCCCTGCTGCATTTTGCAAAACCCAAGATTTAGGGAGAGGAAGTGACAGATTTATTACCTTAGAATAACAGGGCTGAGTTTTTTTTCTTTTCTTCCCAAAGCATCAGTATGCCAGTGTATGTTTTCCCTGCATCCAAACGCCCTGCAAAAAAAAGAAAGAAAAATCATTAACCATCACGTTAATGTGTAGGATCTAATCTCTCCCTGTGCGAAGATGACAGCAGCTTCGGTGCTCGATGGCATAATTGTGTTGTGATCTGGCGTGCCAAGTTCCCCAAACTTCCACTTGACACATTAAGAAGCGATGCTGTGAAAGAGAGAGGGAGGGAGAGGGAGAGGAAGCCCCTTCCAGTTCTGCGGGGCTCTTCCCCATGGCATATGGGGTCCATCTCCAGCTCGCTATTGGAGCCAAGAGGAATCAGGAACTTTAAATGGAGAACAAAATGATAGCAAATGAAAAACGATATCTCCAGCCTTCCCAAGCCAGCAAGGGGCTGCCTGCCTAGGGGATGGAGAGGTGCAGCTGCAGAAGCCCCCCAAAAGCCATGGTGCAACTCCCATCACTGTTCAGTGTGGCTTCTGTGCCAACATCTGAGCCACCCGCTGGACCCTTGTGTGGTTTGAGGCGCAGATCTGGCATGCGAGAGGCAATGAATGTCCTGCCAGTGTGTCTGTAATAAACAAATCAATAATTAAGAGAGGATACGCATTAGCCTTGAAACAGGGTCCAGATGGAAGTTTATTTTGGACCTTATGAGGAACATGGGGACTCTGGGTACATTCAGGAGCAGTGTTGGACAGGTGGGTGTTGCCACACGGGGCACATAAAGGCACATCTGCAAGCAGGGATGTCAGAGAATTTGATCAGAAATGAAAATGTTGGTCCAAGATCGCAAAAGGGGAAGTGCTCACAATTGTTTTTGTGAGTCTGCAAATGATTGTTGTTGTTGTTGTTTTGCATTGTCTTTGATGTTCCGCTTCCATGCAATGCACTCAAGTTTATTGTGTAATGAATTATGTAATTAATTGCTTTTGTTTTGGCCGTAGTGTATATTGAGATGGAAAAAGTAGGTTTTAGCAGAAGCCAAACTGCAGCAGAATGGAAATAGTGCTGATTGTGGCCAAAAAAAATAAAGGGAAAAAAATGGGTGCTACTTGCTTAGGTCTCTACTTGCAAGTCAGCTTAACAGTGAAGCCTTGAACATACTTCCTCGAGAGTAAACTTCATTGAGTTTAATGGAATCTACTTTCTAGGCGAGAAAGTGGCTTAGCTATAGTCTTCCAGATATTTTTGGCTCCTATCAGCCCTAGCCAGCATGACCAATTGACAGGGATGATAGGGGTTATAGTACCACAACCTCTGGAGGGCCACATCCCTGGTGTAAATGGACAACACAGAGCATCATCATGTTGATGACATGGCCAAGCTGGGCTATTAGCACATGCAAAACAAGGGCAGTATGTGGTGAATACTGTTGTTGCCCAAGTTCAAGACCAGCATGATCCAGAAGTCTTCATGGTCCTTCAAGGTGAGGGGGATCCAGGTGCCCTTGAGGCACAGAAAGAGCCTAGGGTCACATTAGCAATGTGCACTGAAAGCACTGTGATGCCACTATAAACAGTCATGGCTTCCCCCAAAGAATCCTGGGAGCTGTAGTTTGCCAACAGTGCTGAGTGTTGTCAGAATACTTTTAATCCCCTCCCAGAGCTACAATTTCCATAGTTCCCCAGGAAGAGGAATTGACTATTAAACTATTTTAGATCCTGCCAGAAGCATTTCTGTCCACGTGATCCATGAACCTATCAGTGACCTGGACACAGAGTTGGCGTGGTATCAGATGGGGAACCAGGTGAGGGTCAGGGCTGACTGCTGGTAGGCCATTGCAATGGGAGGCCATTGCACCCGAGACTGTTGGCTGAGGCTCCCATAGGAAGCTTCCAGACCACCAGGATCTATAGGGTCAGAGACAAGACCTTCAAAGGAACCTCCCCCTGAACCCTAGGAACCAGATGCCTCCCACTGCCCATCAGTGGGAGGGAAGCTACAGAATGGAGCAGTGCCTGTATTCAGGTCTGAGGGTTGACCCTTTAAGACTCTGAAGATCTCCATAAGGGGATGGAGCCTGGACTAGGCAGCCTGGAGACAGAGGCTTAAAAGGCTTCAGCCTGCTCCCAACCTTTGTTGGAGCAAGTTGTTTACTTGGATATATCTGTGTTCTGGTAACCTTTGACCAGCCTTGCCTCTTTCTCCATGGGATCTAGCATCAGACCTGAACACGACAGCCTGTGCATTAAGCAGGAAGCATGGGGAGTTCAGTGCTAGTGATGATGCTGGCATCATTCCATGGATAGAGGCCAGTGCAGACTAGCAGGACTGGGTGGAGGGAGGAAGTTCTGTTCCCAATCCACACATACCCAGCCTGGCACAAAGGGAGCTCGGCTACAGTTCCTAACAAGCGTGTTCAACTCAGTGCACCATCAAACATCTGAGACTATGGTAGCCATGAAGAAACTTGTCTAGCTTGATCAAAATACATATTAATCAATGACTTTAATTAGGATCTTTGGTCTTCATGCCCCTTTCTTCCTTCTCTTTCTCGTTACTAATTGCTAATAGGATGTTTGCAGGAGTATTTTGACCTTATAATTCGTGAGTTGGATTGTTTTGTTTGTAAGCTTAGTTGAGAATTCTATTTATATTTCTTTCTTTCTTGATTTAATTGAGGTCCTTAGGACCAGACATTTGCTTTATTTGCCACAATTCTTTGTAATTATAGTTTAATTGTAAGAGATAATTTAATACCTTATTTTCATTGTCATTGCCATTTTTTTAACAACGTCTTAGGAAAGCACTAAAAACTTCTAATTAGTCTGATTTGTGACGGAGGAATTTGAGGTGAAACAGACACACTGTACGGTGGGGTATATGCACTCTGAACCTAAAATGGGAAGCGTTCAAGGAGCCCATAGTTTTCCCTGTAACTATTTCCAGTAGGGATGAGTGAAAGTGAGCTTATTCAGAGGGATCTGGACCTTGGCTAAATAGAGCTGTAACTGGATGATAAGACCCTTCTCCTGATTGCTTTGGGCATGGATCTGGGTCAAGATGGGGATTGTTATCCTGGGTGGCACAGGGCAGATAGTCCTGATCCAGGGGTCACAGAAAGGGGCCATACAGTGGATTGGGAGGACAGGCTGTACACCAGGGTTTCCCAAACTTGGGTCTCCAGCTGTTGTTGGACTACGACTCCCATCATCCCTAGCTAGCAGGACCAGCTGTCAGGGATGATGGGAATTGCAGTCTAAAACAGCTGGATACCAAAGTTTGGGAAACCCTGCGGTACACAGTCCTAGTTTCCATTTGCTGGTCAGAAGGACCTCAAAGACAAGTCACAGACTATTGGCTCTTCTAGATGTGATTAACAGTGGCCTAATTTATAAAGGTTTTATAAGGATTACTGAATTCCTAGGGGGACATACGCAGGTGGATGGGTGTGTGTATGCATCACTTCAAAAGGTCCTTGGTTAAATCTCTGGCATCTTCCATTAAAAGCAGGAATGGGGTACATGTGCTTTTCTAGATGATGCTGAACTACAACTCCCGACAACCCCAGCCAACATGGCCTTACTTAAAAGGATGGTGGAAATTGTAGTTCAGCAACATCTGGAGGGCCACACATGTGGGATATTTACTTCCGTCAAACCCAACAATTTCTGTTTTGCCAATTAGGCACACAAAGGGGCTGAGGCTCAAAGAGCTTTCCTGTAAACTTGCTAAAAGGAATAATGTGATATCACTTCCCTATTTGTCTCCTGACAGGAAATGATGTAACTATGTATGCTCCTCGCTGCCTGGGCGCATCCTCTTTTCCATCATGCCTGCAACGTGAGAACACCTATAATTCTGGGCTCAAGATCAGACTCCATTTTAAAGCTAGACTTAGTATGTCTTGTAACTCAATTAGTATTTTAAGCCTGCCTGCACCAAGCTGTTGCATCTGTTATTCTTTAAGACCTATACTGAGTAAATGTAATTTTTTACTTTTAAAGGGTGAGTAAAGGGGGTAATACAGGACACGGGTGGTGCTGTGGTCTAAACCACTGAGCTTAGGGCTTGCCGATTGGAAGGTCGACGGTTCAAAACCCCACGACGGGGTGAGCTCCCGTTGCTCAGTCCCTGATCCTGCCAACCTAGCAGTTCGAAAGCACATCAAAGTGCAAGTAGATAAATAGGCACCGCTCCGACAGGAAGGTAAATGGCGTTTCCGTGCACTGCTCTGGTTCGCCAGAGGTGGCTTAGTCATGCTGGCCACATGACCCGGAAGCTGTACGCCGGCTCCCTCGGCCAGTAAAGCGTGCTGAGCGCCGAAACCCCAAAGTTGTCCGTGACTGGACCTAATGGTTAGGCGTCCCTTTACCTTTAAAGGGGGTAATACCAGGAAAATCCAGTCCTCCTTAAAGCATCCTGCATTATTAATACTAAAATACTAATACAGTGGTACCTTAGGTTACGTACACTTCAGGTTACATACGCTTCAGGTTACAGACTCCGCTAACCCAGACATAGTGCTTCAGCTTAAGAACTTTGCTTCAGGATGAGAACAGAAATTGCGCTCCGGCGGCGCGGCAGCAGCAGGAGGCCCCATTAGCTGAAGTGGTGATTCAGGTTAAGAACAGTTTCATGTTAAGAACGGACTTCCGGAACGAATTAAGTACTTAACCTGATGTACCACTGTACTTATCTAAGCTTCCCCTTTAAGCTGCAAAGGGATGGCACTCTGCTGTACTCATAAACGTGAGGAAGGAATGATATTATCTAATGAATATATCCTCTCCTATCATCTAATCAAATCCCAACAACAAATTTCCCGCTGCAGGCTAAAAGGATCATGTAGCAAGTGAAAGGAAAGGCTCTATGTGAGCACTGCCAGTCAGAGTAGACAGTACTGAGCTAGTTGGGCAAATAGTCATTATTTACTTACCTCCAAGCAAGGTAGCCTTCATCCCCAAGTAATCCTTCAGAAGTAAAGAAGGATGCATTCTCAAGAGTACTGTATGAAAAGTCAATACCCCCTAACGCAGTCCAATAATCCTTTCTAAACCAAATGAGGATCTTTCTGAAGGTGGACATGCCTAATTTTGCAGTGGGCTTTTTTGCAAAGTGCCCCCAAGTAAGTAAGATCTTATATGAACTGGATTTCTGTTTGGTTTTAAACCTCTTGGTGGACAGAGGAATCTCATCTTTGCAAAAAGGGACTGGTAGATCAAGGGGAAAGAGATCATTTATACACCATGGACAGCAACATTCCTAAAAGGCAAGTGCTGTCCCTTTAAAATGGCGATCTTCCAGACAGAGTATGCCCAAACTGCTGAGTTCCAGTTATTCAGTGTTCATAACCAGCCAGTCCTATGATCCAAACAGGTTCCCAGTTCAACTTCCTGCAACTCCCAGCTTGAGAAGTAGCACTGGGGAGAATTAAGAACGATTACACACCTTGAAGGTCACTGAAGCTGTAACTGAAAGCTGTTCCTACCACCCTGCTTTTGAGCATCTGATGGGGCATTCTGGAGACAAGATGCAGGACTAGATGGGCCTTTGGTCTGATCCAGCAAGGAGAGCCATTCTTAAGAAACCAGAGGCTGATACCAGCCTGCCTGAGGCCACTTGGTGATTGTTACAACCAAGAAATCCAAACCTCTTCTCTTCAATCCATGTCCATTACACCTAGGCATATTGGCTCATAATTATGTGTCACAAAGAGCTCTTTGTAGATACCACCACACTGGCATCTAGGAGGAGCTGGCTTCAATGGTAGGCAAGGAAAAGGAAAGGTGGTCCAAATCAGGATAATAAAGGGCAAAAATAAAAGAACAGGGTACCAATCTGGGTTGTCCCTTGCTTATAGGTATGAAATCTCCTCTTGAAAAGGTTCTTCATGGTGCCCCAGGAGAAAATAACCAAGGACACTGCTGCAAAATTATACTGGATTGATTGATTGATAGCAGTTCAATTATTGTGGCTTCCCCAAAAGAATCCTGGGAGTTGTAGATCAGCGAGGGTGCTGAAAAGTCTATGTTACGGCATGGAGGAGAGGGAACCAGTGACCCACCCAGTGATGTTTGCCTCCCAGCTCCCATCAGCCTGGCTGGCATGGCCAAAGAGCTGTAGTTCAGCAGCACTGCGGAAGGGCTGTAACTTAGTGGCATAGCATGTGCTGTGCATGCAGAAGATCTTGAGTTCAGTTCCTGGCATCTCCAGATAGGGCTTGGAGAGAAGCCTGGCTGAAATCCTGGAGAGCTGCTGGCTGCCAATGTAGACAATACAGAACTAGATGGACATAGGCAGATTCCTCTGTTCCTATCTGGATCATCATAGCTTCTTGCCATTAGAGAATCTTCTCCTGTTCAGAGGTCTGTAGTCCCTAGACACTCTGGGGAGAGGAAACAACTGGGAAATCAATTTGAGGCACACTCTTGTCTTTCGGCTTGCTGGGAAAAGGGGGGTCAGTACAAAGAAAGCAGCAGTTGGACCAGTTTCTCCTGCTCATGCTTTCCTGTCTTCTAAGGTCATCCTGAGCATCTGCTGGGACCTAATTGGGAGCTGGGTACAAGCTTTGCTGCCTCCAGCCGCCCCCAGCTGCTTGCAGATTAACCCCGTCTGGTCCCCATCTCCCTAATTTGGCAATGCAGCTCCCGAGAGTGACAGATATCAGCTTTTCCTCCCCTTTCCACCCACACCCTCTTTCCGAGTCTCTCGGGTAAGGCTGATCTGTTTGCGAAAGTCAGTCTCGTTGCAACACGTGGGCACCTTCTCCCAACACACTTGGGGAGAAGGGGAAAAAAAGCAGGCACCACATCAAAAGCTGCCTTCGAGCTACTCCGAGAGATAATGGGGAGGAGGGAAGGAAGGGGTAAAAATATGGAGTTCTGCTGTCAGCACTGTTTCCTTTTGATGCATGTGTGAGCTGAACAGCTTAGAAAAGCAAGGGGGCTGAGCAGACTCCAGTGGGGACCGTGAGGACTTGGATTCTGCTGAGATCTTGTGTCTACCCCCTTTTGTGATGCTTTGAGCAGTAGTGGAGACCTTCCACCCCACAGACCTTATTAATAGGCCCACCACTTCTCTTCATCTGGCATGTGAGGTTGTTTTCGCCAAGCTGTGCCCACCTGCCTTACCCCTGATGTCAGATATGGATGGTAGCAGCTGGTGCCCATTGGGGACTGATAGGACAGAAGACTGGGAGGCCGACACTAGTTGAAGCCAGAGTCAATGACCTCCCCATCCTCTTACTTACAATTAGACAGAGGGGGGTTGGCTGAGGGCAAGCCAAGGTTGTGGGGCTCATTTGCCCCAGTGGACCAGACTCCACTGGGAGTGGGGCAGGGAAAGATAGAGATTAGATGAAATGGTCTTTGCAGGTACCACAAAACACCACTGTTATTTGAAGTGTTATTTGAAATTCACAAAACCTTCTCCAGAGCATCAAGCCATGTTCTTCTGTAGAACGGTTTAGGAACAGGGTCCCATCCTGAAAAGTGGAATTTCTCAGATCACCATGCCTGCTCATTTCATTTCTTCTATAGGGTCCTCCTATTGTTTCCCTCCATTGCAATAGTTTCTGCATCTGTTCCATGTGCACAGGTAAGCACACCTTACCAGAGGCCCGATGGAGAAAAGCGGGGCTCCTTCAATGTGCACGCAGCTGCAGGTTGTGCTGGGCCAGCCCTTGTACCTTTGCAACCAAGAGATGAGACCTTCTATGCTTTGGAGGGAAATTGAAAATCCCCCTTAGCAGGAACCCATTACTAGGGATCTGGGGATTTAGGCTGCTGTCTCAGAGGTGTTTGCAATGAGCTCTGGTGGGAACCGCAGCAACTTTATCAATTCATTATAGAGGAATTGAAAACCTCTGCATATAGATTTACACTCCATTATCATGCTAACTCAGACATAAGCCCTACTTTTTCTGAGGCAGGGAACATCCCAGCTACAGCCTGGGGATTGAATTAGAACAGATCAGGCAGGAATGACATTGGGAAACATGGCAAACTATGTGTGTGTGTTCAGGCTCCATCATTCTAGCCCAACTATAGCCAGAGCTGTGTGCAATCTATGTCTGTTAAAAATTAAATTAAAAGATCTTCTGAAATACTAGCAATAAGATAAACCAGATTCTGCAACAAGACTAGCAGTTTGCATCCCTCCTATTTTGCACAATGTATTCTGCAATATTTTATTGTTTTGCTAGGTTTATTCTGCTTCTGCAGTCACAGGGCTGTGTTAGTAGATAGAAAGGGCACTGAAGTCCTAACCCACAGTAACCTAGCCAATGTGGTGTAGTGGTTAGAGTGTCAGACTAGGACCTGGAAGACCAAGGTTCAAATCCCCAATCAGCCATGAAGTTCACTCACTTCCGGGTTTTGATCATTCATGAGCCAATTTGTTCGGGAGCCAAGGCGTTTGAGATCCAAGGTATGACTGCAATCACAAATAAAATAGGCAGAAGATGCAAAACAATTTTAAAACATCACTATGCACTTCCTCCTTCTCCAAAAGTCTGGGCAAAGAAGTGCATCTTTATCTGTCATCTGAATGAAAATAACAGAGATGCACTTTGAAATGTGGGCAAGGGTTTGTCTCCAGTTCCAGTCCTACTCAGAGTAGACCCATTAAAATTAAAGTTAATCACAATGGACTTCAATGAGCCTACTATGAGGATGAATAGCATTGGATCCAGCCCAAGGTATCTCCCCCCCTCCCCCATTTAGGAGAAGGCACTGAAAAGCACTGAAGTGTATGCAAAATGCATAAATTTAAATGTGGGCTTTTTGTGTGTTCCTTCAAATCACCTGCACGAAAGAAGATTTAACAGACCTATAACTGAGCACCTGCAAAACTGAGATGGTGCAGAATTAAACTGTTCAACTCGTCCCACGTTTCCGCTACGGCAGTGCTCAGCTTATGCTGTTTGTTTGTGGATGTAAATTATGGGGAACTGATTCAGATTATCCTTCCCAGACAACAGGAAAGTATCATTGTCCCATTGGTGCTTCATGCTGTTTGCAGGCTGATATGGATGGGGCACCAAGACTGTATCTTGGCAAGAGGCAAGACCAAAAATTGTTGCCTCCAGTCAGCATAATACATCTTCCCAGGATGCAAGAGGGAAATGTATGTGAAGGCTGAGTACATTTCCTTCCTTTGACTTCTTTCAGAGCGCTGCAGCAGAGGAGCCATAGATCAGCGGTGAAGCACCTGTGAAGCAAGTGTAACATCCCAGCTTCAATCCCAGGCATCTTCCATCAAGAGGACCTTTCAAAACAGATGGGGGACCCTTTTTGGCTCCACAGGCCAGATCCTTATCAGGATCAACCTTGTGGGCCAAATTTGACTGGTGGGCAAGGTCACAAGATGTCATTATTACATTGCATGATTAACAAGTGGTTGGGTTGCCCATCTGTCAAATGCATGGCTTTGCAGGTCTCCGCCTTGCTCCTCCTTTAAGCTCTTGAGCTTAAAAGTACAAAACGGGAGTGCAGGGAAACATGCAAGAGCTCCAGTTTCAGCCTGAAAAGGGAGAACGGGAACTGTCTTAAAGCCTTTTGCAAAAGTGCTGTTTGAAGCAGCCAAGGAGGGGGTGGGGGTTGCATCAAACAGCCCTTTTGAGAAGCACTTTAAAGTTTAAAATGCTTTGCCCAAGAGTCGTTGTCATATGACTAAAATTTCTGGATCCCCCCCCTTAAAAGAATTTCAGAAACTTTCTCTAACCCCTGCAGAAGAAGAAGGCCACCATGCAGAATTTTCTCCAAATATCTGCTGCCACACAGAGACACAATGTCCTGGAATGACACAATCAGGATGCAGACATGTGAGCAGAAGTTTCAGAGTGTGGAAGTCAGCATGCCAAATGCTATTTTGATATAGATTAGTACCCCCCCCCCCCATGGCTTCTATGCCTTCAACAGACAGATATTCAGGAAAAGCGAATTTTCCCATTGATGGGAAATGCAGTGATCAGGAAGCTACAACCACTGGATTTCTGCCTGCATTGCCATTAGAGCCCAGGTATTTCAGAAGCCCGATTTCAAAATGTACATTCTTTTGCAATTCAGAAATCTCATTTTCACATGAAGGTGTGACACATTAACACATTTGGGTTGTCACATGACATCTTGCTGACAAAATATTAAAGTTTTGGAATCTCGAGCTACAGTAGATGCTGGCAAAGTTGTCAAATCAAGTTTGCAAATGAAGGAGGCGTTTATGTGCCACCCAAAATAGACAAGAGGTGGGAAAGGGAAGTTAATGGTGGAGAGGGAACATTCTCCACCCCCTCTTCCAGAATAGTAGAATTTGGAGTCACCCGTGGGGACTGAGAAAAGGAAGTACCTTCCAGGGCTGCAAGCCCAGGCACACTTACTTGGGGGTAAGTTCCATTGAACTCAGTGAAGCATACTTACAGAATAAGCATGCTTATATTTCTGCTTCAGAAAACACTCTCTATTTGCTTACATAGCATCAGAATAAAGGAAGTTGCCAGTGCTTAAGGAACTACCTATTTGCCCTGAGTGCTCACTGGAAGGACAGATCGTGAAGCTGAGGCTCCAATAGTTTGGCCACCTCATGAGAAGAGAAGACTCCCTGGAAAAGACCCTGATGTTGGGAAAGATGGAGGGCACAAGGAGAAGTGGACGACAGAGGACGAGATGGTTGGACAGTGTTCTCGAAGCTACAAACATGAGTCTGATCAAACTGCGGGAGGCAGTGGAAGACAGGAGTGCCTGGCATGCTCTGGTCCATGGGGTCACGAAGAGTCGGACACGACTAAATGACTAAACAACAACAATTTGTTTTTTGGCCACAATTCAAAGTGTTGCTATTGACCTTTCAAGATCTAAGAAATCTTGAGTCCAGGATACTTGATGGACCACTATTTCCCCCAAGAGCCTGCCCAACCAGGCTTTGCTCAGGCCCTGCCCTAATTGGCAATATGAAGCATGGCCTCCTTATTTGTAGTGTCTTAGAATCATAGAGTTGTGGAGCTGGAAGGGATCATGAGGATCATATAGACCAACCCACTACAATGCAAGAATATTTCACCCAACTTGGGGCTCGAACTCACAACCCTGAGATTAAGAATCTCATGCTCTACCAACTGAGCTATTCTTGTGACTATTAAAAAGTCTTTGGATCGCCCTGCATTTGACCATCTGCCAGACTACCAATCTCATACTACAAAAAGGTAGCAGGTAAAGACTTTGGGTGGGATCCAGAGTCCTGCTAGTTGAACTTAGGTCCCACTGAAATCAATGAGACAAATTAGTTATGATGTGACTAAGTCCTATTGAATTCAGTGGAGCTATTCCCAGATAAGTGGCGCTAAGACTGGAGCCTTCACTAGGATCCACTGATCAACAACAACAACAACAAACCTGTAATCCCATTCCAGAGCAGGTCTTCTCAGTCAAAAATGTACCTGACCCACAGGACCTCAACTTTGACCGGGCTTCAGTTTAACTGTCCAGTTACCATTTTCTCCAAAAGAGTTGCACGGATTTGGCAAACGATTTTCTCTAGTTTTTAATTTTAATGGCATTTAATTTTGTTGCTGTTTTAGAAGCTGGCTGCCACTGGTGTCTTTGATAGCCTTTTATTGTTTCATATATATATATATATATATATATATATAGAATTTCAGTTGGTGTGAGATTTCTCCAGCAACCTGTAGCCTTCCCAACTTCTTGATCTGAAAAAGCTCGGTGGAAGAATTTATCTCACGATGTCAAAGCTGTTGGGCTTTGATGAAGTGCTGGCACCCAGGAAGGCTGCAGAGTGCAGACCACAAGTGAGGCAATTTGCAGAAAAAAAGCAAGAACCCTCACAAACACCCCTTCTACCACCTCAAGAAGTAAAGTAAAGTAAGCAACTCAAAAACTCTGCACTTCAGCCGTGAGAAATCTGCCCAAACTTTGTCTTCCTTTTGATAATTTTCAAATGCAATTTCTTCATTAATTACCATTCATTAATGGTAAAACAACAACAACCAGGAGAAATGTTCAGCACAGCACTAATTTTAAACAGTATGTGTGAAATAAATTGAAGAAGCAAATATATCAGATGTATATCAGTTTGGAGCCTTGCGGTGCTGGATAGTGATCCTGCCCCACTGCCTTCAGTCTAGAGCAGCACAACTCTATGTCATAAGAAAGAAACTGTTTCAAACGATGAAAGGAAACTTTGAATCCAAAGCATCCATCAATAGTGGAGGAGGCTGCCCACTCGTGTCTCAGCATGACTCACTGCTCTGCCCTTCTCAACGCCTTCTGATCATCCTTGGCTGAGTCTGCAGGTCATTCTGTCACATCTCAGTGGTGGGTGTGATCAGATCGCTCCTGAAATAGGGATGCAGGAAAAGTGACAAATCGCAGAGGAGGCTGCCTAGTGGGTCTCTGCAGGAGTCCCCTCTCCAAGCTTGCCTCCCAGGAAGCTGCCTTATATAGTCAGACCATTGATTCATCTAGCTCAGTATTGACTGCACCAGACTCCGCCAGCCAGGTGCCATCCTGATGTTTGGGACTAACAATTGTTACCAATGGTGGCTGGTGCTGATTCCGACTGGTAAGGCAGAAGGTAGGGAGCCCCAGCAGTAGATGGAGCCAGAGACAATGACAGGCAGATCCAACACCTTCTGCATTCATCTCCATCCTCTGTCCTGCTGAGTTGTACAAGTGCAATACTGAGGTGGAGGAGGAGGGAGCTGGCAGGCAGTCCCACCCCCTGGACTGGTTGACATAAGAAGAGCCTTCTGGATCAGGCCAATGATCCACCCAGCCCAGCATCCTGTTCTCACAGATGCTTGAGGGAAGTCAGCAAGCAGGATTTGAGTGCAAGAACACTCCCCTCTCCTTTAGCTTCTGGCAACTGATATTCAGAAGCCTTCTTGCTGCCAACTATGGCAGCAGAACACAGTCATTATGGCTAGTAGCCATGGCTAGAGCGGTCCTCCATGAATTTGTCCAATCCTCTTTGAAAGCCACCCATGTTTGTGGCCATCACCGCCTCCTGGTTCCATAGTTTAACTATGCGCTGGCTGGTGGCATGATGGACCAGCTTCCACTGCCTGTGGGTGGGCAAGAAGAGCTACATCAAAACATCTGGAGAGGACTAGGTATGCAAAGACTGGCCAACACAGACGAGCAGAGGGGTCTCTGAGGTTTCAGACCAGAGCCTACTGCTCCCTACCTGAAGATGCTGGAGACTCAGTCTAGCCCCTTCTGTATGCAAAGCACATAGAGCTTATGCCCCCTTTCTCCTTCTGATCAAGGGATCTTGTTCAGCATCATGATTCATGCATAAATACCAGGAGGGGGCTTCTCTCCTAAGGGGGGCATTTTCACTCTCTCTTTTTTTTTCTGCTTTCTAAAATAAAACCTCTTTTCCTCCGCTGATGCAAAGAGTGCTCCTGTTTCTCGGTCGGAGTGGGGTAGCAGTTAACTCAGCTCCAATAAGTTTGGGAAACACTGGGCTCGAAGAACGAAGCTTTTCCGGCGCAATGTTTTTCCCCCTCTCCAAGAAACCAGGAATTCTTTCCCCAGGATTGCGAAAAGAGAGGAGGAAAGGGAGAGATCGAGAAGCCGGAGAGGGAGATAGATGGATCCACCTGTAAGCCCGCGCGGTCCTGCGGCTGGAAACCTCGAAACTCCGCCGGCTTCGTGGCTCTTGTGTCTGTGTGCAAAAGAGCAGAAACAAGAGGCGATTAAAAGAGATGGGGAAGGGGGGAGGAGGGAAGGAGAAGCCACAGAGGTGGGGGAAGAGGAAAGCGCCATAGTGGAGAAGCAAAGCAAATTAAGCAGGGCTCTGATCTGCTTGGGTTGCCGCCTGCCCCAAAATGCACCCTGCATCTTAATTCGCTTCAGCGTTGCTTACACACGCACATACATCTCCCGGTGCCATTTCGGCTCCCTGAAATCAGCCCCCACCACCATCATTCTTCTCCTCTTCTTTTATTTATCCCTGCAAAAACCCGCCACTACTCTTTTGGACGCCCCCTTTGCAATTTCCCAAACAGTCTCCCCCTTCCTCTCCCCTTTCCCCCTGGCAGGTCCCCTCCCCCTTTTAAGTCCTTCGCTCATTTCTCTCTCTCTTTTTCTTCAGACTCATTTATTTCTCTTCTTTTAAAGCTTGGGAATCCGACTTGAAGAAATAAAATAAAATACACCAACACCCCACTATTATTATTATTTTTTAAAAATGCTATTATTCCTTTTGGATGCAGGAAAAGATTAACATTGCCCTTCTCTTGTTTGCAGATTCTGACTTGTTTGCTCGTGGGGTGTATCTCTCTTCGCCGCAAATTCTGCCTTTTCAGAAAACCAGATTGCCGGAATAGAGACGTGATTGGCGCGTTGTGTGTGTGTGTGTGTGTGTGTGTGTGAGAGAGAGAGAGAGAGAGAGAGAGAGAGAGAGGAGCCACAACAAGAGTGGACCCCCTCCCCCGTCCGGTTGCAATCCCACCCGGAACTTTTCTCACGTGCAGATCTCGCCAGGAACGTTTCCTCGGGTGTACGCCAGCCCAGTCCACCCGCGAGTGGCACAGGTCCGCCGCGCAGTCACGAGCGCAGACTGCGCGCCCACGTGGTTATCAAGCCCTTTTCCCGCGCGTGTTTCCTCCGAAGTAAAAGACACCACCCTTCCCAGGAAAAGGCGCCCGCAGGATCGTCGCCCCTTCCCTCGATCTCATCGCGGGCAGAGTTCCCGAGGATCGACGTGCCTTAGAGGATCGCTAGTTCCCCCCACTCGCCAATCCACCCCCTCCCCTAAGAGGTAGTAGGCGATATTGCGAAGCGGGCGAGGAAATCCTCCTTTCAACAACCAACAAACAATCGCCCACCGCGCAGGCTGAGGGGGTTCCCTCTTGCACCTCGGCATTGCACGGCGGAGGGGGGGGGAGGAGAAAATTAATCTCTCGCGCTATATCGCTTGCGCGCATATTACATCTTTCTGCAGCACTGCCGGGCGTGGGAAGGGCTAGCTGGCCGGGTTGGAGGGGACACACACACACACACACACACACACACACACACGACAGGAGGCGGTGGCGAAGGAGGAGGAGGCAGGGAGCCCCCCCTCTTCTCGTGCCCCTCCATCTCCTCCTCTCCCTCTGCGTGGCGTTTTTTCTTGCAGGTGTTTCAATTTTAATTCTGCCCGGTAGGTGGGACTTGGTGACTTTAAGCACCATCATATTTCGCCCCCACCCTCCTCTCTCTCTCTCTCTTCCTTTCCTCCTCTCCCTCCTCCTCCTCTCCTCGCTGCCGCTGCTGCTGCCTTCCCCCCTCTTCTGTTGCAATCTTCACAAGTCTCTGGGAGAGCAGCGAGCGAGCGAGCGAGCTACGGTGGATCAACAAGGCACCGAGAAACGCCAGCCGCACCGCGCACACACCAGCCAGCCAGCCAGCCGCGATGCAGCGCTCACCGCTACAGTAGAGGGAATAAGCCAGCCTCGCCGACCTGCCCATCATGAGTCTATCGACGGAAGGATTTTTTCTCTACATGCCTCCGATCGCTTGAGGGTGGTTTGTTTTGTCTTTTTTTTTTTTTGTTGCTTCCTCCCCTGTCCTCGCCCCCCTTCTCCCTTAAAACCTCTCTCTCTCCCCCTCTCCTCTGTGTCCTCCCCTCTTTCCCCCCTCCCTTTCCACAACCTCCCCCCCCTCTTATTTCTTTCTCTCTCCATCCCCCCTCCTCTCTCTCTCTCTCTCTTTTGGATCCCCGTCAGGCTTAATTTTTTTTAAAATTTTTATTTTGTATATATCAGTAATTCTTCTGAAATAAAGCCACAGCGAATCGAAGATGGATGTCTTGTTTTGTCCGACCAAATGTAGTTTTTGGAAGGTTTTCTGGCTCTGGAGCATTTGGGGAGACTTCTTGGTTTCCGTCTTGGGTTGCCCTGCCAACTGCCTTTGCAATAAGACCGAGATCAATTGCAAAAAGCCGGACGATGGGAACCTCTTCCCCCTTTTGGAAGGGCAAGATTCAGGCACGAGCAACGGGAATACCAGCATCAACATCACGGACATCTCTAGGAATATCACTTCGATGTAAGTCTTGTTTCTTCACCCCCCCCCCCAAAAAAAATCCCTCCCCATTTCTCTCTCTCCAAAGCTGTGTATTAGT